TGAACGCTAAATCAAAACTCGGTATGGGTATCACGAAAAAGAAGAAGCCAAAGAAAAAGATAACGCTGAGAAAAGTTATCAAAGCAGCCAAACGATCGATGACACAAAGCAACGATGCATAGGCAGTAATTCAGTATGCTCTTATGGGTATCACGAAAAAGAAGAAGAAGCCTAAGAAGAAGAAGATAACGCTGAGAAAAGTTATCGAATCAGCCAAACGATCGGTGATACAAAGCAACGATGCACAGGCAGTAATTCAGTCTGCTCTTAAGGGTGCCCAAACAGCTGTCAAGCAGGCTGGTGGAAAGAAAAATATACGTGCACCACGTGTTCTACCCGTACCATCCAAAGTTGGAGGTTTCCTGCCGTTTCTCGTACCTATGTTTGCGGGTCTGAGTGCTGCCGGAGCGTTAGCAGGAGGTGCAGCAGGAATAGCCAAAGCCGTGAATGATTACAAGGCAACCAAAGAACAATTGAAGGAAAGCCAACGACATAATAAAACGATGGAATCCATCGCGTTCGGCAAAGGACTGTACTTGAAACCCTACAAGAAGGGACTGGGCATTCATCTAAAGCCAAAAAACTTGAAGTGAAACTACCACGTCGGGCGTTAACTGATGCAGATCTGCTCAAGTACGCCAGGCTCATGAATATTCCACATTTTCGTGGAATTTTTATGCGGAATGCTATGCCAAAAGGTGGATCGTACAAATACGAATCGGTAATCGTCAATCTCGACGATGAGGACGGTTCCGGAACACACTGGGTCGCCCACATGAAGAAAAAAGACTCAGTAATTTATTTTGACAGTTTCGGTAATCTTCGCCCCCCACTAGATCTCATTAGGTATCTTGACGTTGGTAGTGTAAAATATAATTATGAACGGTATCAGAACTATGATACTTTCGAATGTGGCCACTTGTGTCTCAAATTCTTATGTGGGCAGTTAAATCGTAAGAATAAGTATCGTCTATATAAACATGCTGCATAATGTCATATCGTTAGTCAAGCGTTTGCAATCATAGAAGATTCATTCACGCTAACTTTATCAGTCAATTCTTCTATACTCGAAGCCTAGTACTTTCCCCTAATTGAGCTTTCTCGAGATAAAAATCATGCTCTGGGGCTCATCGAATTATTAACCTTTAATTCGATTCCTAACGTGGACACTGGTCACGACAAATTCTACGTGGGTGATGAAGTTATCGTTATAACCATTGGTAGCTACGAGATAGAGGATATCGAGAACTATGTGCAGAGTACGTTGATAGATAAAAATACCCTAATTAGTATTAAGCCTAACAATAATACCCTGTGCAGCGAAATTAAGTGTAACCGTGAAATCAATTTTCAACCTGATGATTCGATTGGTCGATTGTTGGGTTTTACTCAACGCGTTTTGGAAACTAATAAATTACATACATCCGACGTACCTGTAGCCATTCTCAAGGTGAACGCCTTGCGAGTCAAATGCAACATTACTACAGGCGCTTACATAAACGAACATAAAGGTACATACCATCCACGAATTCTTTCCGGTTGTACCACCAGGATATA